ATACCTGACTTTATTCAGTGCATCCTTTGACGTAGACACTTCCCATGCACATGGACAATGTCTCGTGGCTGTTCTTGCCATTGAGAATTGGCTTTACATACAGTATAATTTAGTCTTATGTTGACCTATGTTATTTTAACGTTATATTTTAATGGGAAGGCGAGGCGCGTGGGTACTTAAGTCCTGTTCGCGACTTTGCCGATTGGTTATTTTCAAATGTATTTGGACATATTTATAAATACTATCCAATAAAGCTGTTTAAAAAAAATTCTAGTCCGGGCTGCATAAATTTCAACCTGGTTTGAGCTGCCCAGGCTGAAATTTCAGCCTGGACTGAAACTCAGCCCGGGCTAAGAAAACAACCGTTTAAATAAGGCCAAAACTTGTGTTTCTCATCCCCGCCCACTTCCTTTTTCTTGGCCGCTTCCTCTTTTTTTTTTGCTGGTTTTCCTCTACAAATTTCGCTTCATGCTTTTGAACATTCTTTTTGATAACTTGAAGCTAACTTGAAGTATTAATCTGGAACTACTGCAGACTCATTCAAAGTCCTATCTGCTGACCAAATTCAATGGCAAAGAACCACCAATGAACTCACATGCATATTCATTTTAATAAACAAAATTTAAACAATGGTTTTCGTTTGTTCAAGAATCAGAACAGCAGATAAAATCTTAAAACCATGGTATGCACGTACAGTTGCAGACAAAAACCAAAGTGTCAGTGACCTATTTGCTAGTTTTGCTTGTGGCAAATTTGATCAAGGAGAAAGATTAGCTGTAAAATACCAAACAGCACAAATATTAAATATTATAAAATATGTTTTTATACATGTTTCTAAATGAAATTGTCATACCTTGGCCTTTTACGTAAATAAATATAAAATATAGATTTTGTATTGTATCATCTGAGCACAATATTTAAATAAAATAGTATTTATTAAAAAGGCCAGAGTGTGCACAGGCCACCCAATCCACATGATACCTGTTTTATTTTAACAAAATAACGACTGATAATTTTGAACAGTTTTAGGACTACATGCAAGAAGTAGTTTTGTTGATATTTTATTAAAAAGAAATATTTTAATGTTTCCATACATTTTATACTAGCTAAAAGTCAATATTGGTGAGAAGAAGAATCAGCTAAATGTCTCAACAAACCCCAGTGAATGTCCATCAGATATTGTGCCATGTTTAGGACAATACATTGAATTTCTCATCACAGAAGAGGCAATCCCAAATGACAGCAGTGAATCTTCAAGACAACACTCAGACACAGTAAGCAATAACCTTTTTACATTGATGATGGCAACACAGAGAAATAACAAGAATCTTCCACCTCCCTTTCCACAAATCAAACCGGAAGATACAGTTAAAAAATGACATCTTAAGAGACAGTCTCTGTAAGAACCTCATGACCTCTTTGGATCAAGATATAGATTTCTCTCAAGCTTTGTACTTGAGATTGCCTTTATAAGGGTTGTTTCAAAATGCATTTTGTTTTCAGTCTAATTCCATTTTGGCAAAGTTCCAGGGGGGTCAAGTTGAGGGATAAAATTATGATTTTTGCTGTTTCTCAATAGTGGATTTTTACTCATTTTTAAACCTCTACATCAAACAAAAATGATGATAAAACTAAATCCTTCCACACAATGGTAGCTTTATATGTCTTAAGCAACAAAGTATCTACAATTTTTTTCAAATATGTTTTCTAAATATAGAAATGACATTGTTCATGACAGACTAAAATAGAGATTTCCAAGTTCCTTAAAAATGGGTGAAATAAAACCCCGAAAATTCGGAAGTTATACTTTGCATGAATGTAATATTTTTTGTATGGTGAGATTAAAGTACGGTGGCCCATAGGGGACATGCTGCAAATAAAATAATTGCAGTCATTTTATTGAAGTTGCAGAAATTATATTATTATTGCAGTAATTATACTATTATTGCAGTAAGTATAGTAAAGTTGCTGCAAGTTAAATATAAAGTTGCTGCAAGTTAAATATAAAGTTGCTGCAAGTTAAATAAAAAGTTGCTGCAAGTTAAATAAAAAGTTGCTGCAAGTTAAATATAAAGTTGCTGCAAGTTATATTTGAAAGTGGAAGCATGAAGTGGAAACACCGTGAAACGAGAATTTTTCGCCTCAGTTTTTCGCGCCATTTTGCGGGATTCGCATTCATATTCGCATTGGCCATGTTTGTATGTCGAATAATATTTGCAAGTTGAGAGTTTCAAGGACAGTTTTACGGTGGCCCATAAGGGTCACGCTTCTTTCTTTTATATTTTGCTTCTGTATTTATAAAAAGCACAACGAAATTTATATTAACATAGCAAAGTCATTTAAAAACAGAATAATTTTCTTTTTTGCCGGTGAAGACTTTTGAATTTACCTGCAGCAAGTTAACTTTTTAGCTGCAGAAAGTTAACTTTTTAGCTGCGGCAAGTTAACTTTTTAGCTGCGGCAAGTTAACTTTTTAGCTGCAGCAAGTTAACTTTTTAGCTGCAGAAAGTTAACTTTTTAGCTGCAGCAAGTTAACTTTTTAGCTGCAGAAAGTTAACTTTTTAGCTGCGGCAAGTTAACTTTTTAGCTGCAGCAAGTTAACTTTTTAGCTGCAGAAAGTTAACTTTTTAGCTGCAGAAAGTTAACTTTTTAGCTGCAGAAAGTTAACTTTTTAGCTGCGGCAAGTTAACTTTTTAGCTGCGGCAAGTTAACTTTTTAGCTGCAGCAAGTTAACTTTTTAGCTGCAGAAAGTTAACTTTTTAGCTGCAGCAAGTTAACTTTTTAGCTGCAGAAAGTTAACTTTTTAGCTGCAGCAAGTTAACTTTTTAGCTGCAGAAAGTTAACTTTTTAGCTGCGGCAAGTTAACTTTTTAGCTGCAGAAAGTTAACTTTTTAGCTGCAGCAAGTTAACTTTTTAGCTGCAGCAAGTTAACTTTTTAGCTGCAGAAAGTTAACTTTTTAGCTGCAGCAAGTTAACTTGACGATTAATCGAAATATAAATTTATAAAGTGGAAATATCAGCGTTTCTAAGAAAGACCCTGGGACCGAGGTCGCTCAAGGTGAAGTCAGTGCCTTTTTTATTGTTTTTCTGGGTTTGCAGCAGAAATATTTAACACTAATGTTGTCTGTACTGTATATGAAACTGAAGCTATTGAAAAACTCAATTTGGTATAGAAATTTCAAGACTATAATTTACCATTTTTGGCCCAATGGCAGTTGTTTTTGTATTTTTAAAATATTTATTTTTTGCTGAAGTCTTGAAATTTCCACACCGAACAGCAATTTTGAATAACTTTAGTTTGATATATAGCCCAACGTTTGGCGTCAAGTATACGCTTTTTGATAGCAAGTATACCCTGCGCTTTTGGCAGCAGTTATATAGGCTTTCTGCTGATACTGACACCATAACGCGAAACCTATAGACTAATATGTCTATCCTTGTGAAATTTGACATGCATACACCTCTAATAGAAAAGAGATTTTGATACTGTAACTGATTTATATACTGAAAGATACCTATTGACTCTTATAGGTCCAAATTTCCGAAAATTCGTAATTTTCTACGAAGGTGGGGGCCGCCCCCCCCCCCCACCGAGATTTCCGTCACTGAGACCAATTTTGACTAAAACTATAAGGGAAATTTGAAGGGAATTTTTGGGAATTTTATCACTTGGAAAGGAAATTTTTATTGAAAAAAGAGGAAAACACGAAATAATTAACATCCACTTGAAATAACGCTGGATTGCAGGAAATACTGTTTCCTAAAAGTGGAAACATGACGTCAACACGCGTCTAGAGAACGTAACTTGCTTTCAATTTGTACTCTAAAATTATAGTAAAAACTGTCATTAAAAATGTAAATTTATGCTCAAATATGGTGTTTTGTTCAGGTTGTGGTACTGAATACGTCCACAACGCAAAGTTTTGTCATAAGTGTGGCAAAAAAGCATCACAAATTGCAGTTCCTAACGATATAAACGACGACACTTCAGTTTCAACTGGAAGCGGGACAACTACCAGCGCCTCTACTAGTCAGTCAAATGAACACCGAACCACTTCTGACAGATCTGGATCATCACGCCTATCATTCAGCGCTTATCGCATGAAGAAAGAACAGGAACGATCATCATGTTCACCTAAAGGACCTATGGCGAAGAAGTCGAAGAAAGCCGCCTCAAAAAACACAACTGTAGAGGTGAAAGTTAATGTGGGTATCATGACATTGAGAGATGGAAGGTTATTGCCCAAAAGAAACACAATG